CTTTAGGGAGAATCGACATTATCGATATTAGAAGATTCATTTCTGTTCTTTCCACAAGCGTTTATTTAGCCGTTCTATCACAACGTATTTTTTAGGGAGAATCGACATTATCGGTATTAGAAGATTCATTTCTGTTCTTTCCACAAGCGTTTATTTAGCCGTTCTATCACAACGTATTTTTTAGGGAGAATCGACATTATCGATATTAGAAGATTCTTTCTGTTCTTTTCCACAAGCGTTTATTTAGCAGTTCTATCACAACGTATTTTTTAGGGAGAATCGACATTATCGATATTAGAAGATTCATTTCTGTTCTTTCCACAAGCGTTTATTTAGCAGTTCTATCACAACGTATTTTTTTTTAGGGAGAATCGACATTATCGATATTAGAAGATTCTTTTCTGTTCTTTCCACAAGCGTTTATTTAGCATTTCTATCACAACGTATTTTTTAGGGAGAATCGACATTATCGATATTAGAAGATTCATTTCTGTTCTTTCCACAAGCGTTTATTTAGCCGTTCTATCACAACGTATTCTTTAGGGAGAATCGACATTATCGATATTAGAAGATTCTTTTCTGTTCTTTCCACAAGCGTTTATTTAGCATTTCAATCACAACGTATTCTTTAGGGAGAATCGACACTATCGATATTAGAAGATTCTTTTCTGTTCTTTCCACAAGCGTTTATTTAGCATTTCTATCACAAAGTATTCTTTAGGGAGAATCGACATTATCGATATTTATTTAGAAGATTCATTTCTGTTCTTTCCACAAGCGTTTATTTAGCCGTTCTATCACAACGTATTCTTTTTTTTAGGAAGAATCGATTACATTATCGATATTTGAAGATTCTTTTCTGTTCTTTCCACAAGCGTTTATTTAGCATTTCTATCACAACGTATTTTTAGGGAGAATCGACATTATCGATATTTGAAGATTCTTTTCTGTTCTTTCCACAATTTAGCGTTTATTTTAGCATTTCTATCACAACGTATTTTTTAGGGAGAATCGACATTATCGATATTAGAAGATTCATTTCTGTTCTTTCCACAAGCGTTTATTTAGCCGTTCTATCACAACGTATTCTTTAGGGAGAATCGACATTATCGATATTAGAAGATTCATTTCTGTTCTTTCCACAAGCGTTTATTTAGCAGTTCTATCACAAAGTATTCTTTAGGGAGAATCGAGAAGACTATCGATATTAGAAGATTCTTTTCTGTTCTTTCCATATTTAGCATTTCTATCACAAAGTATTCTTTAGGGAGAATCGACATTATCGATATTAGAAGATTCATTTCTGTTCTTTCCACAAGCGTTTATTTAGCCGTTCTATCACAACGTATTCTTTAGGGAGAATCGACATTATCGATATTAGAAGATTCTTTTCTGTTCTTTCCACAAGCGTTTATTTAGCCTTTCTATCACAAAACGTATTCTTTAGGGAGAATCGACATTATCGATATTAGAAGATTCATTTCTGTTCTTTCCACAAGCGTTTATTTAGCATTTCTATCACAACGTATTCTTTGGGAGAATCGACATTATCGATATTAGAAGATTCTTTCTGTTCTTTCCACAAGCGTTTATTTAGCATTTCTATCACAACGTATTCTTTAGGGAGAATCGACATTATCGATATTTGAAGATTCTTTTCTGTTCTTTCCACAAGCGTTTATTTAGCATTTCTATCACAACGTATTCTTTAGGGAGAATCGACATTATCGATATTAGAAGATTCATTTCTGTTCTTTCCACAAGCGTTTATTTAGCCGTTCTATCACAACGTATTCTTTAGGGAGAATCGACATTATCGATATTAGAAGATTCTTTTCTGTTCTTTCCACAAGCGTTTATTTAGCCGTTCTATCACAAAGCGTTTATTATTAGCATTTCTTTATTTAGCAGTTTCTATCACAAAGTATTCTTTTTAGGGAGAATCGACATTATCGATATTAGAAGATTCTTTCTGTTCTTTCCACAAGCGTTTATTTAGCATTTATCACAACGTATTCTTTAGGGAGAATCGACATTATCGATATTAGAAGATTCTTTTCTGTTCTTTCCACAAGCGTTTATTTAGCATTTCTATCACAACGTATTCTTTTTTAGGGAGAATCGACATTATCGATATTAGAAGATTCTTTTCTGTTCTTTTCCATAATCGTTTATTTAGCAGTTCTATCACAAAGTATTCTTTAGGGAGAATCGACATTATCGATATTAGAAGATTCTTTTCTGTTCTTTCCACAAGCGTTTATTTAGCATTTCTATCTTTCCACAACGTATTTTTTAGGGAGAATCGACATTATCGATATTAGAAGATTCATTTCTGTTCTTTCCACAAGCGTTTATTTAGCATTTCTATCACAACGTATTTTTTTAGGAGAATCGACATTATCGATATTTGAAGATTCTTTTCTGTTCTTTCCACAAGCGTTTATTTAGCAGTTCTATCACAACGTATTTTTAGGGAGAATCGACATTATCGATATTAGAAGATTCATTTCTGTTCTTTCCACAAGCGTTTATTTAGCAGTTCTATCACAAAAAGTATTCTTTTTTTTTTTTAGGGAGAATCGACATTATCGATATTAGAAGATTCTTTTCTGTTCTTTCCACAAGCGTTTATTTAGCAGTTCTATCACAACGTATTCTTTAGGGAGAATCGACATTATCGGTATTAGAAGATTCGTTCTTTCCACATAATTGTTTATTTAGCAGTTCTATCACAAAGTATTTTTTTAGGAGAATCGACATTTCGATATTTGAAGATTCGATATTAGAATCGATTCGATTTCTGTTCTTTCCACAAGCGTTTATTTAGCAGTTCTATCACAAAGTATTCTTTAGGGAGAATCGACATTATCGGTATTAGAAGATTCTTTTCTGTTCTTTCCACAAGCGTTTATTTAGCAGTTCTATCACAACGTATTCTTTAGGGAGAATCGACATTATCGATATTAGAAGATTCATTTCTGTTCTTTCCACAAGCGTTTATTTAGCATTTCTATCACAAAGTATTCTTTAGGAGAATCGACATTATCGGTATTAGAAGATTCTTTTTGTTCTTTCCACAAGCGTTTATTTAGCAGTTCTATCACAACGTATTCTTTAGGAGAATCGACATTATCGATATTAGAAGATTCATTTCTGTTCTTTCCACAAGCGTTTATTTAGCAGTTCTATCACAAAAGTATTCTTTAGGAGAATCGACATTATCGGTATTAGAAGATTCTTTTCTGTTCTTTCCACAAGCGTTTATTTAGCATTTCTATCACAACGTATTTTTTAGGGAGAATCGACATTATCGATATTAGAAGATTCTTTTCTGTTCTTTCCACAAGCGTTTATTTAGCATTTCTATCACAACGTATTTTTTAGGGAGAATCGACATTATCGATATTAGAAGATTCTTTTCTGTTCTTTCCACAAGCGTTTATTTAGCATTTCTATCACAACGTATTTTTTAGGGAGAATCGACATTATCGATATTAGAAGATTCATTTCTGTTCTTTCCACAAGCGTTTATTTAGCCGTTCTATCACAACGTATTTTTTAGGGAGAATCGACATTATCGGTATTAGAAGATTCTTTTCTGTTCTTTCCACAAGCGTTTATTTAGCATTTCTATCACAACGTATTTTTTTAGGGAGAATCGACATTATCGATATTAGAAGATTCTTTTCTGTTCTTTCCCACAAGCGTTTATTTAGCATTTCTATCACAACGTATTTTTTTTGGAGAATCGACATTATCGATATTAGAAGATTCTTTTCTGTTCTTTCCACAAGCGTTTATTTAGCATTTCTGTCACAACGTATTTTTTAGGGAGAATCGACATTATCGATATTAGAAGATTCATTTCTGTTCTTTCCACAAGCGTTTATTTAGCCGTTCTATCACAACGTATTTTTTAGGGAGAATCGACATTATCGGTATTAGAAGATTCTTTTCTGTTCTTTCCACAAGCGTTTATTTAGCATTTCTATCACAACGTATTTTTTTTTAGGGAGAATCGACATTATCGATATTAGAAGATTCTTTTCTGTTCTTTCCACAAGCGTTTATTTAGCATTTCTATCACAACGTATTTTTTAGGAGAATCGACATTATCGATATTAGAAGATTCTTTTCTGTTCTTTCCACAAGCGTTTATTTAGCATTTCTATCACAACGTATTTTTTTATCGACATTATCGATATTAGAAGATTCATTTCTGTTCTTTCCACAAGCGTTTATTTAGCCGTTTATATCACAACGTATTTTTTATTTTTTTAGGAGAATCGACATTATCGGTATTAGAAGATTCTTTTCTGTTCTTTCCACAAGCGTTTATTTAGCATTTCTATCACAACGTATTTTTTAGGGAGAATCGACATTATCGATATTAGAAGATTCTTTTCTGTTCTTTCCACAAGCGTTTATTTAGCATTTCTATCACAACGTATTTTTAGGAGAATCGACATTATCGATATTAGAAGATTCTTTTCTGTTCTTTCCACAAGCGTTTATTTAGCATTTCTATCACAACGTATTTTTTTTAGGAGAATCGACATTATCGATATTAGAAGATTCATTTCTGTTCTTTCCACTATCACAACGTATTTTTAGGGAGAATCGACATTATCGGTATTAGAAGATTCTTTTCTGTTCTTTCCACAAGCGTTTATTTAGCATTTCTATCACAACGTATTCTTTAGGGAAAATCGCGTTTTTTTTCAATCCTAAAGAAATTGTATTTTTAGTATTGCAATTAATTGCTTAATAATTGGATAGCAAACATTTTCTGATTTGCATTTCAACTATTTTTTCACAGCAACAGAATAGGATTCTCATTATGTCGTTGTGGTACTGTTTTTGTGGATTGTAAAATAACACGATATAAATTGCTTGTCTTTTTAATGATGCTTTGTGTGTATGTGTGAGTATATTTTTGTGGCTAACGCCAAATTGTATGATTTGAAGAAAAAAAAATCAAATGCTAAGGCACTTACCAGAAGTCCTACCTCCATAAGCAGCCCGGGACGCTAAGTTTGGAAATAGAGAAAAGGAGAAGCAAAAAAGGGTGAAATATCGATGAATTAAACAGAGACTTATTCACATAACAGAAGAGCAGACTTTGGAAAGAATCTACAATAAAGGTGTTCACAAACAGACCGGCATTAAAAACTGAAAAATGATTGCAGCATTCATTGATATTGTAAAACCACTACGATGTTTTTAGTAATTCACAGCACAAGTTTGCATTTTCTCACTACTGAATCAGTGGAGTTTATGTTAAAAATATTACTCAGTGGTAGAGCATAGGATAGATAACCGAGGCTACAATGTCAGATGATGCTATATTCTTTTATACTAATTATTTCACTTGAAGGAAAATGAATAATACTTTCGAACGGCCAACTTTAAAACCGTGATAACATAACAATTACTAATTCGCAGCTCTCTTGAGTTTCGGACATATTTACTATAATTTGAAATAACGAATAAGGGATAAGAACGCTTGCTGACCCATTAGCAAAGGTAGGAAAATCTTTTTTTTTTTTAATTATCACACTGTGCCTTTTTCTTTTTTTTCTTTCTTTGTCTGTACGTAACTTCTGTCATATTAAACGAAAACAGATATAATAAATGAACAAGTAAAGCCTGCCATGATTCGAACTTTCAATCAGAAAGTAAGAAGGTAAGCATCATAACCATTACGCCAGCGTTCTGCAAACAGCGCCATATTAAGTTACACACAACACACAGATATAGCAGTCATCTTAGGCAGGTAGATCCTATATAGAGCGCACAGATACTACAATTACACTTAGCACAGATGGGCAAGTACAACCGTGATCGTAAGAGCATAGATACTTTATTGATCGTCGACAAAGAGTCAAGGAATATCATTTTGGTCATAGATATTGCAATTAAATCAGAAAGAGAGTTAAGAAATGACAATAGGCAGACAACACAGATATTCTGGTCATAGGCAAAAGTGCCGATTCATACGCAGATGATCCCGTTATTATTTTTTTATAGTTATTATGTTAGTAAGGTATACAGTTAGTTAAAGACATATTCATCTCTCCCAGTGCCCAACAATCAATATTCTTCTTGTATGTTCATAATCGTATAGGTTTCTAAAATTGTAGGAATCATGAACTGATTCGATCAGTAATGCACTCAAGAAGAGTTTTCACATGATATAAAGGACTAAAATATCACTGAAAGTGAAAAAGATGTTTGTTCTATACACAAAATATATAATCGATATAAAATGATGGAGAAGTTTTGATCCATTTCCTATAAATTCCCATCATATTAATTGTCTGTCTGTATGAGGTCCTCACCTAGAAATTCTGAAAATTTGATCATCAAAAATAATAAAAAAGAAGAAGAAGAAGAAAAAAAAACGCATAATTTTCTTTGAACTTGGACATTTCTTCTTCCACTTGGACTTGGATACAGCGATCCGAGCGTTTTTTTTTTCGAAACATCCAAACAAAATTTGATTTATGCGTGTTATTATTTCATCAAAATATTGTAGTTTATTATTGAACAGCAGTTTATTAATACGAAAAATAAATGACTATAAATGATTTATTTTTATTTGTAGCAATCATCATCATCATCATCATCTAATAATAATAATAATAATAATCTTATAATTTGCCTTATGTCTAAAAATGTTAAAAACGGCTGTTTTACTATAGAAACGAAATTATAAAAGAATTTTAAGATTCCACTTCGGTTTGTAGTCATATTTAGTTTATAATAGTTTATAGATAATATTTTTTTATTAAATAATAAAACCGATCAGAATATGTCCAGCATTATTGCTTTTCTTAAATAGAAACTTTGTATAATCAGAACTTTTCTGTTAATTAAGTTACTTATCGCAAATATTAATTCACCCCAAGAAATTATAAATTTTAAATCAAAGTTTGTTTTTTATTAAATTTTTTGGCACTCTTTTGAAATTAAAAAATCAAAATATGTTTGACCCAACGCTCAGAAGGAAAAATCACCAAAAATCAGGGAGTTATTCACATTTCATTGTAAGTGCGAATGATATTCGAGGTACTTACAAGGAATTTTGTAGAATTTTAAAAAAAATATGAAAAAAAATCTGTTTTTGTTTTGCTTATCGGGGTGGGGGTGTTGAGCGCGAATGTTGACCCCACACTTAGAGTCGTCCACATTTGTTGCAATCGCAAAGGTCAACCCAATCGGAGTGCAATGGAAGGGCCTTGCTCTGGGAGAATTTGGTGTGGATTTTAGTAAATATAAATTTTTTTTACTTTAGCGATTTTCCAAGCGTAGCTTAGATGTGGCACAATGCCGAATGTATGGGGCACCCAGTGAGGATCGAACTCATTCGTAATTGTGCTAGCGAGACAAGCTTGCTAACCGTTACACCGCCTCCAAAAGATTTTCCAAGCATAGCTTAGATGTGGAACAAGGACGAAAGTATGGGGCATCTAGTGAGGATCGAACTCACTTTTCAGTAGTAACTGACCTAGCAAGACAAGCTCACTAACCATTACACCACGCCGAGGTGCCCAAATTCTGTTTACGTTGGAGTGAATTAATATTTTAGGTTGAATTAACAGAAAGGATCCATATAATCTGCAAAGGTGATGTTATTCACTAATATATGACTAATGAAGACAAATAAAGTTCATTTTTACAATACGTTAATGAAATATTGACATTGAATGACAAACGAGGAACATAACATTTCTCATATAATGGATACTGGAAAAGCCATCAGTAAATAATTTCCGAAATTTATTTAACAAAACTCAATCCGAATGCTGCTTAAAGTTCTTTTACACGCGTTTATAGGACAAGGGTCTAAAAAATTGTTATTATGCTCGTATCAACTCGTAGTTCGGGTTAATAATATTCCACAGGAAGACAAGATTAGTAAAAAAAAAGTAACTGCTTAATCGTGTGGAACAATAGGGCTATTTTATAAGCGTAGCTTAGATATGGTATAAGACCGAAAGTATAAGGGTACCGAGTGAGGATCGAACTCATTTTTGTCGTATTGTTAACCATTACAGCATTGTAATATCGTATTTAGTACGGAACACTGTGAGGCTCCTTTTGTGTCTCACTTGCGACTCCTTTCAGAGTCAATGGAAGAGTCCATGTTCAACACCTTAGTGTGGCGAAGTTCGGTCATCAAAAACAAAAATAGACTATTTTCTCAGATTCGAAGGAGAAAAAGCAAAAGAAATCTCCTACAAAAAAAAAAGCAAAAACAAATTAACAAAAAGAAAAAAATCCTAATTTCTACAGAAATTTTTAGAAGCAGTTAAGAAAATATTCAATTTAAGATACGTTTTTTATAATCGGCGTATCAAAACCTTCTGAAATCAAGAAACTTGCCTTAAGTCGCTTAAGAGAACGAAATGCTTATCATCATTCCAAACTTATATTGGATCCCAGATATTGTATCCCCATGCTCCCTGTTCTACCACTGAGTTTTGCCCACAAGTATTTGAATATGAGTGCCATTTTATAAATGATTATATCCGACAGGACATTTACGATAAAGGATCACATGTTCAAAGACTGTATTTAAAAGTAAACAGACGTATCATCATTTTTTCTAATAAATCCTGGAAATTTTTGGTTTGTTTGGATAATATATCATAACCATCTGTAAAAGAAAAAGTTATTTAAATTTTCTCATTAACATTTTCCTAGTCATTTAAATTTTTTTCTAATAAGTAATCTCTCAAAATAACAATTATAGCAATCTCCAGTATAACTTGTTTCTCGTTGTCGTCTTAGAACTTTTGTGATCGAAATTCGTAGATGTACATAAATGGGTTGAAGGTCGATATAGTGAATTTTATATTTGTAACAAAAGAAATCTACTGTCTTCTACGTGAGTGTGGTCTTTTATATTTGTGTGTGTTTGCTACCCAGACAGTAATCGAAGTCACTTTATTGCAACCGTTTGACCCGCATCTCAGTCAGGGATGGATATCATAAACTTTACTTACCAGAGATAACGAGTACAGTCAGAAGAAGAGGCAAGGACATCATCTTTGTGATGAAAGGGAAAAACAGAAGCTTCATCGCTTTTTCCTGGACACCTTCCCTTGCGTAATTACTGACTTCACGTAACTGAAAGATAAAAACAAAATATTTTTATCATATAAAATAAATCTAAATCTTTTTGTTTTACCATACAAATTCTTATTCATTCTTCAAGAGTCTTTTCTTCATTTCATTGTTAATTTTTTGGTCGCATACTCACTTGTCTCTAAAATTAGTTCTGTGAAGTAGGCATGAGCGACAACACGTTTTCTAACACCCTATATCATGGGAGTTAATCTTTCACGGACAGTGCATTGGCCAATTTGTTCATGGAAGCTTACTGGTAAATGAGACATGAATTTGCAATCATATATTCGAAAATTTCTAAACTTCACAGCATATTCATTTAACCGATTAGTAAATTTTAAGTTTTTAAATATGAGATTAAACTTTTCATAATTAATGTTAACCAGTCATTTATAGACCTAACTGTTGTTTTTATTCCACCGACCGAGAGTAACATCTATTGGCTATTATTAAAACTTTTTGGTCATTAAAGTAAAATCCTATAATTAAAACAACAATGAAGAAATGTCTGCTTGAAATTGACAATGAAAATATTTATTATCAAAATTCAAACAGTTTCAAAAGCTTAAAACAAAATTTCTTAATATTTATTTATAAAATAAGAGACAACTCAGACAATTATTTGAATGTAAAGAATTGATTTGATTTATATCTGTCTCCGTGAACCACGAAAGAGTTTGAAAATACACCAAACACAAAATACAAAATTATTATCGTACTTTTCTGTTTTTGATTTACTTGACTGAAATCTTTCGCATCTGCGTTCCTATTTCTTTCGTTCTTTCTTTTTATTTTTTTTTTTTAAAAAAAGAAGAAGTTTTTTTCAATGTATTTTTGTAGTTGTTATGGCAAATAAAATAAAAATTTTTTTTGTAAAAAAATAAATACTATCGAAGATGTTGAATTAATAAGGTCGTCAGTTTTCGGAGAATGTGTTGTCGGGATTTGGGATTAAATTAAAAATTACAATGTGAATGGAGCTCAGTTAGTGTAAAAACACAAAAGAAAAAGAAAAATTGCCCTGTTTGTCTCAAAGTAAGCAACATTAAATTTAGAAGCAGGTTTTTTTTTTTTACAAAACATATTTACTACTGAAAATAAAAGCACAGATAAAAAAAAATGGGTCGCATTGGCTTGACGTGATTGACAGCGTGTATAAATATAGCACCCAGCAGACAGACAGTCGACCCATAACAAATCCAAATCAACCCCTGATCAATGCTGTTACTTTACAATATCAAATGTTATTTAGCACTATCGATTATATGATCTCAATAATGAAGAGTGATTCTTGATTTTGAACGGATGATCTGTTGTAATATTCCGTTATACGTGGAAGAATATTTTTCTTTGCTAATTGGTCCCTCAAGAATGTTAACGTTTCTTTTAAAAATCAAACATCGCAATAGTTTATAGTTTTATATTTTCTGTTTATTACAAATATTTTACATAAAGTAGTTTGATAAGAAAGAGAACATATAAAATTTAAATTTTGAGATGTAGAAAAAGGATATTAGATAAACAGCATTCAATATGTAATTACATTCGTGCGTTTGACGTTAAAAGTACTATTAATTTATTCTTCATAAAATATCACATAACGGGTGTAACAGCAAAATTGTCCAAATCTTGTAACAACAAAATTGTCCATTTGTTAGATTAAGCTTTGAACCGTTGTATCTTAGAAATGATTAAAGATATCTTACTGGAATTCTCCGAGTTTTTTTATAACACTGTTGGACTTGAATAATAACAATGTATTTAGCTCTAAGTTGAAATGATGATCCCTGCTGTTTTGATCTAGTTTTCCTTTTACTGCTCCCTGTTTTTTAAACTTATTCACCGTTCACTTGATGGTTCTTGAATTAACTCTGATGATGGAAACCGGAGTATTAATGTTGGCACCATTACTGAAGGCCTGAATGATCTTTTTCCTCTCACCATTGCTCAGTTGGGAGACAATGGGTCTGACATAAAACAATTTTAACCTGTTCTCTTTCTAGCTGAATAACTCAAAGGGTTTTTGAGTGATTCTTACGAAAAATGGTGTCAAGATAGTTAAACGTCTGAAAACCTGAAAAAAGTAACTCAATTAGTTTAGTATATTTTTAGATATTAAACATTTTCTGGGTTGGTCAATTATCCCCAACTCTTACACGATTTGGACAAGTTTGCTGTTACGCCCGGTATTGTCTTAATGAATTCTTTCATTAATACGATTATGGCACGGCGTCTTCAAGTCTAGAAATGCAAACGGTTCTTCAACATCTAATCGTATATACAAGTCGTATAAATCTTTCATTATATAATCATCGCCATTTTAGCGACGCTACCCCAAGGGTGTCCGCTGTGGTGTATTGGGTATCGGCTCGCAATGAGAACTCGGCGAGCCCAGTTCGAATTCCAGTTCCATTTACGCGTAAATACCCGTGGGAATCAATCTCTTGAATCCTTGAATAGCAGGATCGATTAGGTCCTATAGTCTTGCTTGGCAACCAGTCTACCGAAGAAAGAAACGATAACCAACCGCGGAAAAAAGAATTTGCCTAGTTAGTTATTAATTGAAAGAGATATAATCCCCTAAGCGTGTATCATGTATGGCACTTAACTGACTGATTCGAAACGAACTGGAGACCCTAACAACATTTATTATCGGTGGGTGTAATCTTAACAATATAAGATATGCAAATGACACTATGCTGATAGCTGACTCGGAAAGGAAACTACAAAACCTCCTAGACAAGTTGGTAGAAGAAAGAGAGAAAAAAGACTAACCATCGTTTGAAACAGAAAACAGAAAATATGGTCATCAGGAAGAGAAAAGGTCCAAGATCAGATTTTCGAATTGAAAATATAAACATCAAGCAGATGCAGAAGTTCAAATATCTAGGGAGCATTTTAACAGAGGATGGGAAATGCGGCACACATTTGACTATCGAAAGGGACATTGCAAAAGCTATGTAAGGTGTTTGAGAAGCGGAGAAAAACAAAGAAAAAGTGCTACATTGTTATGTGGTATCCATCCTCTTATATGGCAGTGAATATTGATCAGGACAAAACTAAAAGTAGCAGAAATGTTTATTATACAAAAGGATACTTAAAATTCCATGGACGGAAAACTATAAGAAACTCTTAAAGAAAATGGCAACAGAAAGAAGACTTCTACTCAGAATCAGGAAAACACATTCCTTAGGCATATAATGAAGAAGAAGGGTATTGGAAAACTTAACCTACATATATATTGACCATATTGAGGGCAAGAGAGACAGGGTAAGGCAGCAAGCCATTTACCTAACGATGGGAGTATTGGCAAAGGGAGAAAAAACTGATAAGAGCAATACGAGACAATACGAGATAGAAAGTTGTGGAGGGCCATGTTTGCTTTTGTTCTTTTGAGACGCGGCACATAGAAGAAGAAGAAGAAGAAGAAGAAGAAGAATTGAGCAGGACTTAAAAATGGGACCTGCAGCACCCTGTAAAATTTGAATTATATTATAAGTATGTTTTCATACTGATTTTTAAATTTAACGAAGGTATATAAAATTATTTTAAACTTGAAAAGTTTAAAAATAAAAATTAATATCAGAAGAAAAATTATTTTCTTCTTATTCATCATCGAGTAATGTGGCCAAAATAGTTTAAGCGAATAATATACGAAATTATTTTGCATGCAGATGCACAGATAAGAAACGATGATAAATATTCTCTTTTAATAATTCCTGGCGACAATGCAGGGTTCGTCTGCTTATAAAATTTCTTGAGAATTGTTTTATGTAATGGAGTGAAAATATAGAACCTGTGTAGTTCAAATATTTAATAATCGGATCGTTTGTTTACCTGAATAATTTCTTGAGAATGTTTTTTATGTAATGAAATGGAAATATCATAGAATTAGTGTAGTTCTAATATTTAATAATAATAGTATGCTTTGTCTGTCAGTTAGACCTTGGTATGATTATAAACTTCATCCAGTAGCAAGGCTTCTGATTGGGAGATTGGAGGCTTTTTGGAGCATAGAACCAAGTCTTAATTGCTGTTGTTCCCAGGCCCCACCCTGATCCAGTGTGGTAGCATTTTTTAGGTCCAAGCTATGGGCAAAAAGTGAACTCCAAAGAAAAAACAAAAAACAAAAACAAAAAAAAAAAAACAATATAAAAATACATTTTGACCAGCAATACTCTTTATAGTAGAATGACAAACAATACATTTTATTTCTAGTTGAAGACATACAATGACGTTCCAAATATTTCGGCATTACCCACAGAGATTTATCTGCTGCTAAACATAATCAACCAAAATAATCTGTCTGTATAAACTGTTCAGACTTAGTTGGAATTATTTGAATTTATTAGATAAAGTTATTACTTTTCTTTAATTTTATTTGTTGATTTTTATATCAATTCTCAGATTTTCATTCTACTAATTAAGACCGCGAGAACCGAGTGTTAAGAATAAATTAGCTTAAGAACTGCGATAAAAAAATAGTAGAAATAAAATGAAAATAAATACAAGTAACTAATAATAAAAATAATCATGATTCTACTCGAGTGTTTGTTGAAATGATGTACAAGTAATATGCGTAGTTCTGTTATTTATAGTATGAACATAAAAACAATTCTCATAAGACAGATTTTGTCAGCTACGACAGATAGCAAGGTTCAAAGTTGACAATTTTAGGCGCAATAGACTGACTGATATTGCTTACCATTAAATAACTAGTTCTGCTTACTTTGATTCCCAAATATTCTTGACTAAAAATGGAAAGCACCAAGCGTTTCGTTATATCAATTCGCAAGAGAAATTAGGACGCACTTGCAGGTTTATCTTTGTAGTCTACATTCAAAAGTTCTATTTTTGCGTGTTGCGATATTTTTGTCCTAAGAGTCGTAAAAACAAACATGTGATTTCCAGGGTTTCATTGAAAAGAAGACATCATCTCATGCGAAGGAAAA